CTGCTTCAAACTTCAGACTAACTAACAATGTCTCAATCACGTTCAATGCCCTGACAGATACAATTAATCTCCTCACAAGCCACAGATCATGAGTCATTCAATCATAGAGGGAAAAATCAATCATATTTTTCTTAAAAAAGAACAAAGAGCCAAGTCACCTTGGAGAAAGTTAGTGAATTCCTTCCTTTGTCTAATACATATAAATTTCAGTAAAAGGAAAATCATGGCAAGTGTGATCAAAACCACCATATAACATATTTCTCTGCTAAGCTTTTGAAGGAGAAATGCAAGTCTCAGTCCATTACTACCCACAAACATCTCTGTGAAAGTAACAAGAATAAATACCTATACTAGTTGAACACTATCACCCCAAAACTCACATATCTGAAATTTCAGAATGTGACTTTATTTACAAATAGTCTTTACAGATATAATTAGCTAAGCTAAGCTAAAACCACACTTGATTAAAGTAAGCCTGAAATTCAGTGACTGGTGTCCTTATAAGAAGTGGGCAAGAAAGCTGGAGAGACAGCTCAGAGATTAAGAGCACTTACTGCTCTTGCAGAGGACCAGGGTTTGCTTCCCAGCACCCATGCGGTGGCTCATAAGCACCTATAACTGTGGTTCCAGGATATCTGACGCACCTATAACTGTGGTTCCAGGATATCTGATGCCCCATTCATGCAAGTGATTTACCAGGGCCCAAATTACTAAATGGTATTATGGGGTGAATTGTGTGCCCTCTCCTTCCCCCACAAAGTAAACATGCTTAAATTTGTATGCTGAACCTCAGTACTTCAGTGCCAAGCAGACTGTGTGACTCTGGAGATAGGATCTTTACAGAAGTGATGAAGTTAAAATGAGGGCATTAAGGTGGGCTCTAGCCCAAACAACCAGTGTCCTTATCAAAAGAAGACAACCGAATATGGACAGGAGCAGAATGGAGACCTTATGAGAACACAGGGATGCAGGTATAAGACATCCATCTACAAGCCAAAGAGAAAGCCTAGGACAGATCTTCCCTCCTAGCTGTCAGAGTTTTGATATCTTTGACCTTGGGCCTCCAGAACTGTGAGGCAGTAATTTCTAGTGTTTAAACCCATCTGAGGTACTCAGTCATAGCACCCTGGAAGACTAATCAAGTGGTTTATCTATTGTACAGTGATTAAAAGCAAAGACAGACTCTAAATCCTGAATTCCATGCTCCAATATCCAATCTACATAGGCTACCATGGCAAGGAAGCAACCTCTGGGCTGTACTGGAAGCTCTCACCCTGAAAACCCTTAGACCTGTGCCAGGTGCAGTGGCACATACCTTTAATCCCAGCACTGAGAAGGGAAAGGTAGGTAGGTCTCTATGACATCAAGGCCAGCCTGGTCTACATAGCAAGTTACAGTACAGAAGGAACTTTAGGGAGACCCTGTCTCAATAACTAACTAAGTAAGTAACTAGCTAACTAACTAGCTAACTAACTAAGTAACTAGCTAGCTAGCTAACTACCCTTAAACTTGCCTCCTGCTTTTGCTTTCACTCTTCCTCTGCCCTTTCTTGTCCTCCAGATCAGGAAGGCACAGCAACAAGATCCTGCCAGATGCCAGGACCACACTTTTACACTCCCCAGCTCCTGGAACTGTGAGCCAAATAAATCTCTCCTCTGAACAAAACTGAAACTTGTATGGCTTCTTAAAGGCCTTGCTAAATATGTTATGTTAAACTCTCATGAGCTCAACTCCCACATCAACACGATATCTTCATATAGATGTCTTAAGAACTCAAAATGTAAAAACAAAACAACCCTCCTGTGGGGAAAAAACCCACCCATCTCCTATGACCAGCCCACTAATTAGGAACACCTAATCAAAATCATCCTCACTCCCTGCACTTGGCAAAGGCAATAGGCTTTCTCCCTCTGTTCGTTTTCTAGAATATAACTTCTCAATCTAGTCTTCACTGTTTATTTTATTTCTAGTTCAAGGTCCAGCTGACATCTTAGCACCCTTCACCAAATGGAGGAATTTCCTGATAATTTACATTGTAATACTTCAGAAATGGTTTTGCATTGATATGTCATTGTATGTTATTCTTCACCTTATTATCTATATCCTCTGCCTGCCATCTGGAAGACATATTCCTCCAGAGCACCCACTGTATCTAATAATCCATCTTATTTACTGATTCTAGCTTAATGATGTTCTGTAAGTCACTCAATAGCTGTTATGGGGAGAATGTCAGACAAGGTCACTAACTTCAGTAAGATTATATATGAACAGAGAAAGGAAGAAACCATTTCACATTCCAGTAAGAACTACAATGGAAATGAGAGGCAGGTAACACGGTGAGTAAAGACAGGTAAGACAATAGCTAGAGGCTACTGAAGATAGGATGGCCATCAGAAATTTCTCTGAGAAAAGGGCAGTTGAATTTATACCTAGTATCTAAAAATAGCAAGAAAAAGCATTCTCACCAATGGAAGTTTGCATGCAAAGCCCCTGAGATGGTAACTGTGGCAGGGTTGAAGGAAAAGCTGTCAGAAAGTATTGATATAGGTTTTAAGTAAGGGGCATGATTAAATATGATTTAGGCTTTTTTTGTTTAAGATTACAATAGTTTCAGAATACAGAAGAGACAGTAAGAATGCAAGAGAAGTAGAGGGCTAATTGGGAGAGGTCTAAGGAAGAACTGACGATGTCTGGGCATAAGAGTAAAGAGAGATTCATATACTGTAGACAGACAACAATCTGTTAGAGATGTAATCAGTAGAACTACATGCGGCTACATTTAGATAACTGGATGTTACCATTACTCCTGTAGGGAAACCACAGCTGGGGATACAGTAGATACAACAGAATTATAATACGATGCAAGTTTTAGGTAAATTGTACATCAGCCTTATTTAGTAGTAGTATCTTACTCTTTTTAGAAATTAATGAATTCAAGAGGAAATCCCTGGGAGGCAGATGGATGTACGAAATGGACATGAAGACAAGGTTATAGTTTAAAAAAAAAATACATGTGTGAAAGTCACCATCTTAGAGCTGCTATTTAAACTTGTGAAATGAATGGAATCACCAGGGAAGCAGTGTATATTAGAGAAAAGGCCCTTTCCTGTTCTTACACTCTGTAACTTTCAGGAGTCAGTATAAGGAAGAAAAAAGCCCACTACCTAGAGTATCAGATATTCCAAAAGACAGTATTTCAACCATGTGAAAACTGCTTTAATGTTGAACAAGCAAACAAACAAATGCAGACAGGAGTATATTTGGTTTATAATAAAGAAGTGATGGATAAACTTTCTTAGAAATTTCAGCTAAATGGTGATGAAGAAAGCCAACCTAAATGAAATAAAAAGAATAAGGTGAGAAAGTGGAAATAGAGTTTTTTAAAATTAAGAATTAGTATAAATCCCATTGGCAGATGTGGTAAACAAGCCAGACCAGTGACAGAATACACTTAATCTTTGACTACCCTGACAAAACTAGGCTGCAAATCACTGATACTTAGATCGTTTCTTCAGCAGAAGATGTGGCTGTGGTCCCTTGGATGCAAGAATAAACTAAGCTTGGGGCTGGAGAGATGGCTCAGAGGTTAAGAGCACTGACTGCTCTTGCAGAGGACCTGGATTCGATTCCCAGCACCCACATGGAAGCTACAAACTGTTCTTCACTCCAGTTCCGGGGAAATCTAATGCCCTCTTCTGACCTCCCCAGCACTGCACAACATGGGTGCACCCACACACATGCAGGCAATACACTAATAGACATAAAATAAAAGTAATAAATAAAATATTAAAAAAGGAATAAACTGAGCTCTTAGGTAAAGATAACTTGTATTTTTTTTAAATGACAGAGAAGTGAAGCTACTAATCTACATTATGAGAGTGAACTGAAAAATCCCAGTGAACAAGAAATTTGATTTCCCATTTAGTAGAGACACTTTCCTTAACATAAATTTACAAGGGAAAAGATAGAGCCATTTTATTTCATAAAACTACAGTCTTGGGGCTGAGAGATGGCTCAATGGTTAAGAGTACTGGCTGCTCTTCCAGAGGACCAAGGTTTGGTTTCCAGAACCCACAGGGCAGCTAACAACCACTCATAACCCCAGTTCACTCCCACTTTTGACCTCCCCTCCATGGGGTGGCATACACAGGTGCACTTACACACGTACCCAAAACACTCATACACATGAAAATAAAAATAAATAAATCAAAAAATATTTAATCTACAGTCTTATCTAAAAAATATAGCTACATTATGAGAAGTTAGAACAGTGGGAGGAAACATTACAACAAAAACAATCCCAATACATAAGGGTAAACGCATATTAATAAGCCAGCCAATACAAAGTAAAGGCTAAGAACATAGGAATCAGGAAATAAGAAATTCAAAGGAGGGCTGGAGAGATGGCTCAGTGGTTAATAGCACTGACTGCTCTTGCAGAGGACCTGCATTCAATATCCAGCATCCACATGGTGGCTAACAACCATCCTTAACTCCAGTTTCAGGGGATCTAAAGTCCTTTTCTTACCTCCTCGTGCATTGCAAGACATAGGTGCACTTACACGCATGCAGGCAATACATGCATACACATAAAATAAAATTTAAAAAAATTTTAAAAAGTTCAAAGGAGCAATAAGGGAAGTAAAAACTTCCATTTTTAAGAATTTCCCACAAAAGTCATGAATACAGAATACTATTACTCGGAGAAGTATTTTAGGAGTTCTGCAACAGAATCAGATATAAAAATATTCCTCCGATTCCTGCACAGCCTCTCCTTTAATGTTCTTTTTCCTCACTTCTCTGAAAGCAGCAAGGTGATCCTGTCTAATCTAGCATCACTTGACTGTAGGAGGTATTGATTTATAATTTCAATTTACTACAATCCAGTGAAATACGCAACAATATAACTCTAAAACTTTACGTGTTTTAAGACGTAGAATACTTACACTCTTACAAGCATCATACAAATACAAAAACAAAGATAAATAAAAAGTGCCTACCTTCCCTAATGGCCGTGAAAGGTGTGCCTTCTTCCTCCTGCAGCCTGATCACCTTCAAAGCCACCAGCTTCCCATTTACTCTGTGGGAAACCAAAGAACAGATGAAAAGTGAATTTGTGAAAATATGTGCCTGCTATGGTTCTAATTATTCTCCCTAAAGTTTCTATTTTATGGAATTTTGCATTGAAAATGTCAGTGACTCAATTACACTGCCACAGCAAGATTAATTTCAGTAAGACTAGGAATTCCATATCATCATCATAAATATTCATATTTTAAATATTCACACTTGCATAGGCCAAGATTTAACTGGAATTTTCTGTGATCACTCTTTTCCTTCCAGAATGAAGCTAGCATTTAACAAAATCATTTGACAATTATTCTCAGATTAACTAAAAACCAAGCAGTCAAAGTAACTCCTTTTCCTTTGTTTCTCAGAACTGCATCTTTGTTTCTTTTACTGAAATGTCTATCTTGGGTTTGGATGGGGTCATCCAATCCCAACGGGCAGACACCTGACACTCTGCTCTCCTTTCTTTCTCAGTAACACTCATTCTCCCATCTCTCCTGGCTCTCAGTAAGGACCTCCTAAGATTGTATTTGACCTGGTTGTGTGTTGTATCACAGTATATCATCAAAAAAGTGCTGAATTAACTATTACAAGATTACAAAAGATCTATTCAAATCAGGTGGTTCTTCCAAATACATTCTAACATATGTGTCAGCTCTAATAAAAAGTAGGATTATATTATGGAAATAACTTTTTAGCCAGTCAGTTCTGTCAATTATCAATATGAAAGATGTGATGATCTATATGGTCTTTTTGATTGCTTTACTTTCCATTTTTACTAGGCCTACTGGCATACTTTATTAGGTTCATTTGTTCATTAAAACATTTTTAAAGCACATATCAAAACTGTAAAAAGTACAAGAAAATACTTAATGCAAAGTAAACCATTCTGACACACTCCTGAAACCAGCATTAACCACCATTAATAGTAAGTCTCTATCCTTTACTGTCCCTACCACAGGATAGGAAGCCATAGCCATTCTAAGAAATACTATATATATGCATATAATATATATGTAAATATATGTATATATACACAGCAAATATATATTATATATATATACATATATATGTATATAATTCAAGTCCCACATAAATTGACACATGCATGCATAGACACATACACAGTATATAATCTCACTCACATACAGAAAGAACAGTATGTGATAAAGAGTATACTGCATACTCATTACTTAAGCACTTATGTGATTTCCTTATAAATACACAGAAAACTGCATCTTGTTTTTGGAAGGCCACAGGTGCTACACTGTAAAAGTATAACATATTTACTTTTATCCCAGTCTTCTACTGACAAATATTTAGCTTGCTCCCAAATTTTTGCTACTATGAATGATAATATAAGAAATATTCTTACACACACAATTTCACCCCATAAAAAGAATTTGAATGACAAATTTCTAAAATTAGAGTTGCAAGGTCAAAAGTTTGTGAAATTCTAATTCTTATGTTAATGAATAATAAAAATTCATACTACAAATCAGATACCAATTTACTCTTCCTATAGCAAACAATGGCAGTTTCTATTCTTTCCCTTAATCACCTTGTTATCAATATTTTGTTTTGCCAATCTTATAGGTCAAACATGGTTTCTTGTTGCAATTTTGATTGCTATAAAAATCTTCAGAGAGGGGCTGGAGAGATGGCTCAGCGGTTAAGAGCACTGATTGCTCTTGCAGAGGACCTGGGTTTGATTCCCAGCACCCACATGGCGGCTAAGAACAGTCCTTAACGCCAGTTCCAGGGGAATCCAAAGCCCTCTTCTGACCTCCACAGCATTGCACTACATGGGTGCACTAACGTACATGCAGGCAATACACTCATACACATAAAATAAAAATAATAAATACAATATATTTTTTATAAAAGATCTTCAGAGGAACAGAAAAGTAGCACACATGTGACCCTGAGAGTCCTGTGCCTAAATCTAAAATAAAGAATGATAATGTCCTTAAAAATAAATAAAAATTTAAAACTACTAACTGACTTACTTTGTTCAAAAACTGTCACAGAAAGGAAATCCAGAGGCCAGCCTATTCACACAGTCCAGCCACTTTGTGGCATTTCTCATGAGCCCACTTTAAATCCATTATCACTGGTGATGGTAATGGAATAGGACATCTGGTTACAGGGCTGCTCAGTATGCAGTCTCCTAGATGTTACAATTTGTGTTGCTTCCCCTGTGTTTCAGCTGGAAAGACAGGTCTGCTGCTTTTCTGCTCTGCAGCCTCGTCTCCTGAGTACTTTACCTTGACTTTTCTAATCCTGTTTGTGCTCTAGGTACCCAGGTGCAAGCAAAAAAATGACTGCATGTGGGGTTCAGCTGTTGTTGGAGCCTGATCTTCATTGTCCTTTAGGACTAGGAAAGCCTTTGGCAGGTCTTGAGGCTGGGATGCAGTCAGTACTGACATCTGCACAGACTTTCCTCAGCCCAGTTGAGCTCATCACTGGCTCCCACAGGAGGCAGTAACCGATTCCAGGAACGCCTTGGAATTTTCCCTTCATTTACAGACATTTTCCCCTTCATCCATAAAATACACACACCACCTTCTTCCCACAAAGTTTTCCATTTCCCTTGAGAACATTCAGCTTTATATACCAGGAACTGAATTCTGGAATATAGGCCCTCATACTTCTAAGATCTGTGCACTTAAAACACACTCTCAGACCAGAAATCAGGACTGATCTTCAGAACATTGAAAACAGCCCAGTCTCTGAGTTAGCACTCACTCCTGAACTGCAACAAAAGATGAAACACCCCCCGACTCGCCGTCCCCCAGAACTCTTATAGACCAATCAGTATCACACTGCTGTGAAAACATTTAATTATGTGCTAAACTATAAAAAAGACCCACATTTATAGAATTCTAATTCTGCATTTCTATGAACTAAAACTCCAAGTGTTAGTTTTTTAGAGCTACAATCATCTCAATAGCTGCTAACATCAAGATTTTACACAGCATGTCATATAAAACTAAAAATTTCCTTAAAACGTATTCTACTACATTATAAGCTCCCTGAGCAAAGAGATGGTTCTGGTAACTGATGTGTCCAGTATCTAGAACCTTCCTGGCACAGAGTATGTTTTGCTGAATGAATTCTGATGCTGTTAATACACTGATATTTCCTTCCTTGATTATGCAAAATAAACATAGAAAAAGGTATAAAATTATTATTTCCAAAAATTTCAGAAGCACCAAAAATTTTGTAATGCTTTCAATGTCCTTTTTCATGTCTGGCTTAACTATTTCTCTGTTTTCCTTTTTTCAGATTAAAAGTGCAGTCTCTTTCATCTTTATGCATATGGAGGCAAATTTTCATTTTGTGTAAGTTTTAGAACTTGTAGATTATTTTGTTAACCTTTTTACACCGAACAGGCACATTGGAAAACACTCCCCATCTTTTATTAATCTGAGCACAAACCACTATTCAGTATCTCCCTCATCTCCAACTGCTTCACTGGTTTCCCACTAAGAATCATATTGATCACCAAACTGCTCTTTAACCTGAGAGTCACTGACTTTCTTCTTTCTTAATTAGTTTTTCTCTACATGTCTGGACACTCACCAACTGCTGAGTCCCTCAGTTTCAAAGCCTAGCCAAAATGTTAAGTTACTGGCTCTACTACTGGAAAAGGCACCTTTAGAAATAATAATATTAGGAAATTTTCTAATGCCCTACTTTTCGTATAAACTTTTCATAAAACTTTAGATTGGCCTGAAAGACTTAAAATTCTAAACTACTAAGTCATGGATAAATTGTCAGTTTTTAGGCATATCAAATGAAGATAAATGTTATTCTTTGAAAAACAAAAGAAATGTGATATTCTCTATCTTATACTTTTAAACTATTTTATGAGGGTTCAAAACATGTAATTCAAACATTGATTTAAATAAGCACAAAATTCAAATTCAATCAATAGAACTGTTTACAGGAAAACATTGATGATTTCCCCTTTAACAAGTCATATTAATTAAATCAAAAGCTAATGAATAAGAGGCAATCAAGGTTTGATTGCCAGTGGAGACATTAATTCAGGTAAATAAGAGTGAGAAAAACATGCTTTAACTTGTATTAATATCACCACAGAACACTTACTAGAGCTATTTCCAACTTTGCCTCCAGTTGCTCTAAGCTCCACAGAGAGACATTTTACTTCAGAGATTCTCCTACAACTTCCATTCCCATCATGACCTCCCTGTAGGATACCCTTTAAGTTCGAGGATGAGTGACTCACTGCTTTAGTCTGTTTGTCACAAGGGATGAATTTCCAAGTGCAGTATGAGGCAGAACTGCACAAACAGGGGACAGCTCCATGCACAGAGACCTGAGGAGACTGGGTGGCCAGGCCGAGCCATGTGAAGTAGGACCCCACCTTCAAACAGGTTCCAACCACAAATCCAAAACTGACTAACTTCAGAATCTGTGTCCACAATTCCATGTGTCCCTTTACATTTGTAGATAGAAAATTCTCAAGCGAGTAAAGCCAAAGTGCTTGGAACAAAGTCAATTACCTACCCATAATTTCATCCATTCATTCACTTGTTATTCAAAATTCTGCAAAACCTATAAAGAAAAACTCCCCATGCTCTTCTGGGTACATTTTCCAGTTTCAAATGATGATGCTCTGCCAGGCGTGGTGGCGCACGCCTTTAATCCCAGCACTTGAGAGGCAGAGGCTGGCGGATCTCTGTGAGTTCGAGGCCAGCCTGGTCTACATAGTGAGTTCCAGGCCAGCTGAGGCTACAGGGAAACCTTGTCTCAAAAAGACCCCCCTCCCCCCAAAAAAAAGATGATGCTCAAAGAGAATTTCCTCACAGATAAATGATTCTCAAAGGAAAGCCTGCAGGGCTTCTATTGCATTAGTTACCTCAAATTAATAGGATAACTTAGTTCAATAAAACAAAATTACAAACATTATCTAGGTCATCTTTGAAAATAGTGTCCATGTGCTAACACCTAGAAGAAATTATTTCTGGAGGATATAAAGGA